CAATTCCTCCAGGCCAGACAAAGCACACAGACGTTGTTAACTCTATCCCCAAGGTCTGGAATTGCTTACAAACTGGAGACACTCACAGGCACACCCTTATCCAACCCCCTACTCACACTGTGGGGTCAAATAGTAAGAGGAAGATCCAGGCCAAACGCGAAGAATGTTGCACACGTGTGGATTGTTGCACCTTTTACCACCGTGCTTTGCCTCACCCACACTTCTCCCATGCACAGACTTGACAAAAAAAAGGAGAAAAAAAAGTCCATGTCTGGAGTGAATAATTAAAGTACTCTGCATTTGCTTCCCATCATTAAATGATTCACTTGGCGAAGTTCTAAATTATCAATGAAAGCTATTAATTACATAATTTCAGAAAGTGCCAACTTAAATGCACTTGAGGGCATTCCTGAGTACTGTATTGATGAGAAACATCCACCAGGTTACATTTGTTTTTCAAACCTTGTGCGAGTAGGACTGAAAAACATTTTTTTTTCCTTCGTGAAAACAGATGAATACGGCCCTTTGTTTGGTGTGCTCCTCGTGATAAGGGTAAATTACTCTGTGTTGGTCCACAAATTCGCTGGATGGAAAAAAAAGCACTCCGAGCGCAGCCCGACTCCTGCCGAACTTTGCGGCTAGTGTCAATATCGTACCATATTAAATGTCAGAGAAGTGGAGCAAGGAGATGCTGAGTATGCAGGGGGAAAAAAAATAACCCGCTGTAACTTTATTCTCGAGATAATAAAGTTAAAATAATAATCTGCTCTTACCAGAAACAAGTCAATATCAGATAACGGATCAATTTGGTGAACTTTTTCACATGACTGGGATCAATTTCTCGAAAGGTCAGACTTGTGGGAAATAATGACAGGGAAACTGGTTTTGGAGGTTTGACTTTGAACCATAGCACCATGCTGTGGTTAAAAAGTGCACTGAGAGCAGGACAGGCCGCCAAATTTGTGCAAGCAACACACTGGGCTAAAAGTCAACATAGAGTTGACTAAATGCTCTTGATCGTTTACGAGGAACAGAAGCTTCTACAGCGCACTGCCCGGAGAAGTTATTCAACGTCCTTCTTGTGGTCCTTTGCATTTCTATTAAAAACAGAAAAATACTCTTAACCCCCTCCTCCGAAAGTAAAACCATGTCCTTGTTTCCAGAGAGGCCAAACAATTATAATCAAGCTACGCACCCGAGCTGAACCGAGCCAAATGATGTGTGAGAGAGATCAAGAGAGGCGAAAAGTAAAGGGCAGCCTCCCAGTGTGTCCCAGCTCGGTGCAAAAGGATTACAGCCAGTTGAGTGAAATCCATTCAAAATGGGGGATTAGATTGCATAAATCGTTGGCTAAATACAGTCTTCTCACTGTATATTCCCTTGACAATGCAACAGTGGAAGAGGATGAAAAACAAAAACAAAACTTGGGCTCCAATATAGTGACTAATGTCAGTACTCTTAATTGTATTTGTACTCAGAAAAATGCACCGATACCACGATACCGATAATATTTCTTCGGGCTGAAGAGGGACCAACAACGGCTCTTGAAAAACGCATTTCACAAACAATAAATCTATTTGTACGCGAGCGATTTGAGAACTGGGCCGAGCGAGAGCAGCCACATTTGCGGCGGCGCCACCTGAGGATGATGGGTAACTGGAAAGAAAACGATTTAATCGCGCGAGGAAGCCATCCGGAGAGTTATCCGCCACCAAAACGCAAAATCTGTACTTCACGAGCTTTAGATGAAATGTCGCCGCGTTTTTTTTTTTTTTCCAGGAGTCTGATGATGAAAACCAGGTGTTAATGAGCAGTTTCAAAAAGACATCTCCTTTCACGGAAAATGAAGAACGTGACTGCTATTTTTCAGGAGCTCGTCACAGCGGGGGCGTGGGACAGCATAATGATTGCGGATCCTCGGCAATGAATACACTAATTCTGTTTTTTTTTTTTTGGGAGCTCACAGGCCTCCCGCTCATCTCTCCTTCTCGCCCCTGCTCTATGCAATCATCTCAATGGGAGAGGAAGGAAGAGGAGGGCTGCAGACTGAATCAGAATGAGGAGAGGAGGAGAGGAAGTTGCATGTGTAAAATGGGATGCAAATGAATCCCTTTGTCATTCCACGAGGAAACGGCGGCGACCGGCCGCAATGTCATTCCCATTTTATGCATACATTGGTTAGTCCAGATCAGGGGTCAATAGGTGACCGGTGTGTCGATGAAAAAAAAAAAAAGACAAGCAAAAACTGGGTGGTAATCGTCTGATGGATTTTTTTTATCGTAGTTTTGGGGATGGAAACAGGTAGGGAGAAAAACAAGAGAGAGGAAGGGCGGCCGCAGGATGCGCGCCGCTGGGGAGCGGTCAGAAGGCGGTCGTGCGTAGTCAGAGCAGTGGCCTCGAACTGTCATGGAGCTGGAAATGGGGCTGCGTCACGCTGGCGCCAAAGGTAGGGCAAAAAAAAAAAAAAAAAGGATGAGACGTGTTTGCTTCAGGTGAGGGGGGGGGGGAGCGGTGCAAAGTCAGAATTGAGACTACAAAACCCTCTAGCGAGCTTTCGAGCCTCAGGGTTCAAGCAGGGACGAACCCGGGCCTGCAGTTTCTACTCAACCACTCATTTTTAGTTTGGTTTTGTTAATTGGAATTTCACGACAAGACGATGGGCAGAAGGAATTTCTTTGTGGCTGCTTTTTTTCCCCCCCGGATCAGGCTGCAGGGCACTCCGCTGAGGGCCTCGTCTACAAATTTCCAGCATTTAATTTTCACACAGGAACTAAAAGCTCTGGGCTGAAGATGCTGAATTCAATTAACAGCCCAGACGGGGACATTTTTTTTTTCACAATCTTCAAATAAGAAATCATACAGTCTTAACAATTTTTTTCTCTGCGGGAAAAAAAAAAAGTATGATGCTGAGCTCCCGCATGCCGCTTTCAACCCAAGAAGAAAGAATGGCATCAAGCTGAGTACAAGTGTTACCTCCTACTGACATGAATCCTCTCTCCAATGAATAATTCAGCTGGATTCTGATTTTTGAACAAGGTTGAGACGTCACAAAGAGAGCCTTGAGGATCTTCAAGAACAGTTCTTCTCCTCCCGACTGTCCGTTCAAGTGTGCGGGCGCGCGCAGGTGCGCACGCGGGGCAAACGGCCATGTTTACGTGTTGCCTGTGCAGCACCCGATGCAAATCTATAAAATCCATCCGTATTTTTTTTCGTGAGATTCTAACACAGCTGCAGCAGGCTGGCAGGCTCCATCGCCATGCTAACCCGGGAGAATTCCCGGCAACGTTATAGTTGTGTTGTTGAGTGGCTATAAATGAACAATGATCAATACAATCGAATGATCTTTCGTCACACAACATGGAGGAGAAGTCATCATATCATCCGCAGTCAGGG